ACATATTCAATAAGGTATCATATATATATATATAGTATACATTGTGCCTAGTGTAAGACCCAGGCAGAACATGATCTCGAGGTGTCCATAGTGCGGGAATTCAACTGTTCACTGTTTTTTTTGTGCTTGGTGGTGGGTATCTCAAGCACATGAACCTATAAAACCATATTCAGTCTCGTTTCTGGAGGCCTGACCAATCTAGTCACATGACCCAAACGCTCCATCAGCCACCATGGCCTACATTCACCACCAATCATAACCAAAAGTAAGCCTGTTGCGTATTATCTACTCAGAGTCTGGAATCCATTCTTCCGTTTCCAGCTCGAACCGTCTGCCCCAAAAACCTCGTTCTGCTCGAACCGTTCGGCTTCCTCAGCTCAGCTGAGGTGTTTGCGCCGATGCGAAGAGACGTGTGGCTCGGGTTTTCCAGTCTTGTGGGCCTTGGAGGCTCCAAAGCCTCTGGTGCGATCCGAACCTGTGGGGTGTTCGGCGCGTTGTAAATCATGAGGGTGGAGGATGAAGGGTGAAGGGTGATGGGTTCATTTCGATGCGGACCGGGAGTTGGTAGTTGGTTTCTAGTGCAGGGTGGATAAAAAACACCATAATTAGCTGCCATTGCACATGCTGTCATAGATGCCACATAGTGTTTTGTCCCAATGCTGAGTGCTAATGCAAGGCCTTGATTGTAGGAGTAGTGGGTTTGTTTGTTTTGTTTGTTGTTGAAAAGGTTTCTTGATGTTTCATGCGTAAAGACCACCCTTGCAGGTCCAGCGAGGGCCTTGGTGGGCTCAACGTTGTCTCCTGACATCGAAGAGGTTGTCAATGCACCTTCCACTGGCAAGGCCCGGGGTCGAGATGTATTGAACGAGTACAATGCACTTCAAGAGAACATGTCAAGGAGCTAAAAGACACTAAACACACACAATTACATAGTTCATGTTCTAATTTAAAATGTTTGTTCACTTAACGACGATAAGTAGAGGTGGTGTCCTGAGGCATCTACGAACGGAGGTGCTCTGAAAAGGACAAATAGTGAGTATCTACCCTGATCTCTCCGTCTCCCACGCTGGGTTTCAGACCGCAGACCCGCAGACCACTGGTCGACCATCCGATTTCAGACCTTGGCCATCCCATGGCAGCCGTACACCGTAGTTGGTTTGGAAACCCCGGAATCAAAGAAGCAAACACTAGGGACAAGTCTGCACCGGCGCGAGGCAGGGGTGAACGGAGGTATCAAATTTGCGCAAGAGACAGCTGTTCAAATCAAATCTTTATGCGCGTTTATGCGGATATGTAATGTATGGATATGTTGAAGTGACACTAGACCAAGGTAACGCTGATACTGATACCCTCCTGCAGATTAGCGTGGACCTGAAACGCACTGGGTGGTAGATGAGAATTGTCTTACAGGGTCCATGACTTACTGGGTGGTAGCGATTCTCATATGCGCAGGACTTTAAGACCATGGCTGACGGTCTACAGATTCTGGACTTGGCCACTGGAAAGGGCGACCTGGTGAAAGGAAACCAGGGCCTCAGGGTGTGGGTGTGCCTCAAGATTCAAGGCAAGCACCCCACGTTGAACTTGATGTGTTTCCTTTGCCAATTGACATTTGGATCATTTTTTTGCCTTCCCAAAGAGAGCGAGACAGACACAGACAGACACAGACAGACAGACAGACACAGACAGACACAGACGGACACAGACAGACAGAGACACAGACCGACAGACAGATACAGAGACACAGACAGAGACACAGCCAGACAGACACAGACAGACACAGACAGACAGAGACACAGACAGAGACAGAGACACAGACAGAGACACAGACAGACAGACACAGACAGAGACACAGACAGACACAGAGACAGAGAGAGAGAGAGAGAGACAGAGAGACAGAGACAGAGAGTGGGAGACAGACAGACAGACAGACAGACAGACAGACAGACAGACAGACAGACAGACAGATAGACAGCCTTCTAGGAATTGGAACTGAAACATGTCCCATTGCAACTTGCAGTTCAGTGGATCAATCTCAACTGCAGCTCCTTCACTAGTGAGAACCTGGCAAGGGGTCCAAACATGTCCGAGCCCACACAAGCTGCCCAGGCGATGAGTGTTGTTCAGAGGGTGATATTGTGGTGGTGGACTGGAGTTTGCGGAAAAGCAACGGCTGCTCGCCTGAGCCTATACATAAACCCTTCCGCCCCACAGACTAGATGAGCCCACATACAAAACCAAAAGCACCACGGATGAGGGTGTAGGCCAAACATTCATTGATTAATATTGATTCTAGGGTCTGTATTTATTAGTGCTCGAGAGTGCAAGTCTCACAGTTGTCTTTGCAAGAAATACATCAGTGGGAATGTGCATCCAGCCAAACCGTTGCCTTCAGTGAAACGTCACAGTGGCTGCAAGAGAGAACATGTGAGTGTCCTACGAAGCGAACAGACAAAACTACCACTGACATGTAAAACGCAGAGCTGGGTAGCTGCGAAGTAGAGCATATTCACCAATCCAGTGTTTTTCCACTTAGTGACATTTGTGTTGTGGCTGCAGAATTCAGAATACGCCCCGTCGCGACACCGGCCGTCCAAATTTCGAGAAGACTTGTCAGGGACCCGTTTCAAACCCAATGTGGGACCACCATTTGTGCTCAGGTTACTTCGTGGACGCCTCCTTCGGCTTCGACCCGGGGCGTGGCATCGACGAGAAGTTCGGGGTGGGCTCTCCGGAGCTGCGGTTTTCGCCGAAGGGGGACAAAGGCGGGTCATGCGCAGGGGATGTGCTAAAACGTTATATTAAGTTATCATTGTGGATATATCCTCTGACTATAAATGGTATCCCATAAAACGTTTTATGGTCCCTGCCGTTGGATTTTATAGAGGAAAGCTGCTTGTATCCAAGAAACGTACGCGCTACGTGGAAGTGTTTTTATGTGTTTTCTGGTCACTGCTCAAGCACATGGTGGCCTGAGGTTAAATGATTTTATAGAGACCTACTGCTCACTTTATACTCCCTAGGGGGTTACCACCACCATTTCATATCTATAAAATCACTGTCAAGACCCACCCCCCCTATATATAAGTTCAAACATGGGCCCACTGAAAGTTCAAAGTTCCAACAACTTTGGGGGTTACCTTTGTTTGTGCTTACCAATATGTTATATAAATGAAACAACATGTCCAACAATGAAAATGAAAGAGTCATGATGTTCTGCTTCGATGAGCACTTTCAGGTTTGTTGGAAGCCCTGTTTGACACATGGAAACATAACGCACCAAGGGCAGCCCACCCCAGAGCAGGTGACCAGGTCATCGAGGGCATTCGCCGTGCACTCATCGGCATGCGTGTGGGCGGCACGCGGCGCGTCATTGTGCCCCCGAGCTTGGGCTTCGTGAAGGAGGAGTTGAAGCCGAAGCCGGTGGATTGGGGGAGGCAGACACAGATCCAACGATCCTTGGCCAGGTTCACAAAGCTGATTCAGATCAGATCACATGACGTTTTTTTGTTTTTGCATTTAATGCAGTGTTTTCAGAGACTGCAGTGATTGCAAGTTGCTTTGCCCCAAGAGTGATGTTAAACTAATGTATCAAGAATGTTATATAATCATAGAGTCAGCATTGCATGTTTTTGGAGTATATAGGACACGACCTCAGCAAGCGAAGGCTGTGTAGGTGAGTGGTCGCTTCTCCTACAAATGACCCTTTGTTGTTTGAAGGCTGGTAGGATGTGTTTGTTTCATTTGGAATCACACCATACATGCTTGTCCTGTGGAACAGAACGAAAAGACCAGAATTGTTTTGCAGAGTTGTTATAATGTTCATTTATGTTTTGTGTGATTATTTAATTACACCTTTGCCACGATTGCCTGTACTTTGAAGAGGCCCAACAAAGAGGCGCAAACTTTGTTGCTGGCCTGGTGTTTGCTGCTACGTGAGAAACTCCAAGGTGCTAAGAACAAGAACTTTGTCGTCGAGTTAAGACTCAAGGTGCGCCCTGTCATCCTACGAGCCGCTGGCATAGCCATCACTCAATACTTGGTCCGGAACCGTCAATATCCTTCAACCAATCAGTTGTCATTGACATACTCTTTGCAGCTAGTGCACAAGTAGCTGCAGGATCATCCAAATGGGCCAGCAACAACCCCACCCGACACCGGTCCAGACGAACTGTCGATGTACCGTCTACGTTGGTTCCAGGAACGACGCCCGCCTCCCAGGGAGGCGCGCTCGCCTCCCTCGGCCGCTCGCCTCTCGACACCTCGGTTCGATGCAGGCCTTACGCCCCTGATGCGGTGCTCGGCTTCGGAGCTTTCTTTCGGTTCAAAAAGGGCGCTCCCTTGGTCCGCGGTGGGGGGGGTGTTTTTTGGGGGGTGAAGCAAGCTGAAGTGGCGGTGCGTGGGGTAGTTTGGGCAGCATTCTGGTGTTTCATTGTGTTTCAGAATGACATTCATGACTGGTGCTTCTAGCTACTAGTTACTAGTAGTAATTATTGCCCTTAGCTACTAGTAGCAATTGTTACTAGTTGTAAGGCCCTTGTTACTAGTAGCGCAGCGGAAGTGATTGAAAACTGCTCGCTTGACCTACTTGCTGTACTACAGAGCGGTTCTGGAATTCCCTCATGCATCCTCATCCTGAGACAAGCCATAGGTCTTGTATACTATGGTCAGACATCAACCGGCTCAAAGGGCAACTGAGTTGAACTTTGTGGGTTGACCCCCAACCAGCCCAACCAGACCACAGGGAAGTAGACCAAACCGGCGCTGGAATGTTGAGAATCCGGAGCCCAACAATCGCCCCGACGGAAGCTACAGATCACTTCACAGATGTCAGATGTTCATGGCTTGAACTCCGCAGTCGGCTGCGAGAAACTCCGCAGTCGGCCTTTTCAGTTCGGACACGACCCCCCCCCCCCCCACAACTGCTGGACTCCGCCCGCGGACGGTTGCAGAGGCCGCGAATAGCATCCCCTTCGCTCGCTCCGATTCGCTGCGCTCAGGCCACTCCTTTGGCGCGTCTGGGGGAACCAGAAGACACTGCCGCAGCCGTGGCCTTCCTTTGCCTCTCGGTGTCGTTGGGGGTGCAAAGAGTGGACGCGGAGGGAGAGGCCTAGGGATGCCCAGAGTTTGATGGTTTGGTATGGTTTGGTGGTCGATACTGATAGTGATACTGATCTACAATGATCTGTAGTTATTTAAGTTATTTATGTAATCAGTTTTGTGCACATACTATACAATACTATACATTAATTGTTCAGTCTGATGTGAGTCATAGTTGTGGTCACGAGGAAGACATTGTCTTGGGCAATACAAGGCTCGTAGATGAAAGCATCCGCATCTATTATTCTGCTCATGGACATGACTGGAGGATGGATGGATCCCATGACTGACATCCACTGAACCATTCAGGTATGCCAGCAGCGGCATACATCACTGGGCAGGCAAGGGCAATAGTTGGTTTGCTTGACTTTGAAGGGCAATACATAGTTTGATAGTGATCAGTGGAGTACTTCGATCTTGAGTGCTTGAACTTGTAAGTTTTTTTGCTTCACAAATAATGCTTTGTCATGCAATAAGTGTGATTGTTTTCACTTGTGCATAAAATTGATATACTGTGTGCGAGAGTTCACGCAAACGTTCATATGTTGCCGGGGTGCTAGTGCTAGGACGTGAGCGTTTCAATCTTGTTGGTCGTCCTCGCTCCTGCTTTGTAAGTGGTTGCGCCTCGCCAGCAGGAACCTGGTCCCAGTGGACCCAAGGCTACCTTGGCTTAAGGAACCGGAAGCCCTTCTCTTTGTGGGAGTCCTACCGACCTACTGTTTTTGCTTCACTTAAGTGGACTGGATCTAAGCTGGGAACCATTTAGAGCAGCAAACCTCTATTCTTCTGTCAGGGAGGCCAGGAGCAGGTACGTTCCTTATACTTTACAATTCGTTCTTTGCTTTGAGGAGCCACCAGATTAGAGAGGATAGGATTGGTACTGTCTAGCTGCCTAGCTTGATGCCAAGGAAGTTTATCTTCTAGTGGCTATCGGCTATAGCTAGCAGGCTAAGCTCCGGTCTGGCCCTCTGATGTTCCATCATGGCCACCCTCGTCTCGCCCTCGTCTTGTGGACCCGGAGGTGATCTCTGTGGACGGTGGCCTCTTCGCACAGGGCTTTCGTGGGCCCTGCGTGCCTGATCCCAGGCTCTAGCCACCAATCCGCGAGGAGAAAAGCCATGTCGACAAGGGGTGAGACATGGGGTGTTTGATTCATATTGTCCCAAGTGATGTGGGCAGAGATCTAAGATCTATTGAATACAATTGAGAGAGTATTGTTTGATGTTCCATGCTTTTTGTTTGTATAAACAACATTCTTAAATGATATATGATATATACCTGTTGGAAAAGGACATGTATATAGACCAAACCATGTCGAAGTCTGAATTCTTGTCATATTTGGTCAGATTGAGCATTTTCCCGGGTCGATGGAATGATATAATATATGACCATGAATCCAGTACGGTGAAGTCGCTTTTACAGATCCAAAAGACCCGACACATCCTCAAACACCTTCTATGTGGTTGTGTGGCTTGTATGTGTCATTTGAATCTTGAGACATCTTCAATATGCCAGTGAACCTTTGGGCTGCAGCTGCTATGGGGTGGTACATCTATGGGGAAATCAGTCGGTGTGAGGGTTGAAACGACTGACACATGGTTTCTTGTCAGTCGTTGTGGGTCTACAACAAGTACCACTTGAGCTATGTATGGCTTTGAGCTCCAGAACCCGGGCACGTGCCAGTGATGGCCAGCCCCGGTCGTAGCTTCCTACTGGCAAAACAGAAGCTTTTGACCAAGTCGCCAGATGCTTGAGCTGCGCTCTGCGGCTCTGAGAAACGGCGCACAAAGAAAAAACTGCCTCCGGATCGGATTATTGGTTGTGCTGCTCGTTTTCGGGTGGCGTTGTTTTGGTTGTTTTGGGATCACTTTTTTTTTGCATTGGTGGCCAATTTGTGGCTGGTGCGATTGTTGACTGTTCATTGAGACAGATGGTGATCTCTCATTAAGGGATAGCCCAACGGGGCCTCAAGGGCAAACAAAGAGACCAGAGACCAAGCAGATCCATTCCATACTCGATCAGATTCATAGAACTGCGACCCAACACAGCCTGCCAGAATTCAGCTTCCTCCAAACCAGTTTACTTGATGCTTGGGACCATGTCATGTCCCATCCATATTCTGCTCCGCTCGATCAGGCCATGTCTCTAGGTAAAAAACAAGTCCACCCACCTCTTGCCAGAAACCCGTGACGCGGGCGGCCGTGAACCATGAGGCATCCCACCGATTTCGACCGGATGCAAACAGTGAGTGGTAAAGCAACGGTTCGATTGGGAGCGTCTATAGTTGATATAGGGGGTGTCCGAACTTACCTGTAACAGTCGGTAAACAGTTATCACTGTATCACTATTTTTGAACAAGGCCTTTACTAACCATCATCATCCACTGTTACAGGGAATAGATGGGAATAGGATAGACCCAGAGTCTATATACAGTATGATTATATACATATTATACTGTAGAGTGTATATGATGTGCTCTTGAGTAACCCTGTTCACGTAGGATAATGAGTTGTTTTCCGTGTTCTTTGGCTCAAGGCATGAGGAGGTCATAAGAAGCATGAGCTGGTAAGGATTCTTTACTTTGGCAGTAAAAGCGACAGCAACAGAAGATCGATCCGACAGATTGGTCATTCGATTTAAGTTTTCTACTAACCAAACAGCTCTAGGCTTTAGCAAAGCCGCAAAGCTGGCTGGTTTGGACAAACTGGCTGTGTCGCTACATTGAAAGAACCCAGATGCTTAGCAAGGACGCTATTAGGAGGCCATGGCTAATAGGTTGGAGGCCATTACTAGTAACAAGAAGCTACTAGTAACAAGAAGCTACTTAGTAGCAAGCTTTTGTTGCTGGATCCTCGGACCCAGCACTCCGAAGTTCTCACCGGTGCGATGTAGACGGCTCGGGCTCGGATGTCCGGATCCATGCAGGCTCGGATGTCTGGATCCGATTCGTTCACATGGAAGTGGATGGCGTGGTCCCGAAAGGAAGGCGACTTTTCTTTTACACTCCGACTCACTAACATGGAAAAAAACATGTTCGTAAAGTAAAGTAGTCTTCCAAGGGACCATTTTCCACTTCCATGTTAGTGAGTCAGAGTGTACGTGCAGGGAGTTGTTCACTTTCATGCTAGTGAGTCAGACGTGCCGAGAAGCGTGCTAAATGGCTTCGTGCTCCTGATTCATGTGTCGAAGGGACCTGATTTGCACTGCGATCAGTTTAGAGCGGCAATCCACACCCGTATTGATGCCGGATAAGCGTCAAATGCAATCCACAAGATGCGGTTGTAACATGTTGGAGCATGTTGTAACCATCCCCCAAAAGCTTCAATTGCACCCAATATGACGTGTATGGTACTGTTTGCTTGAATGTTTCCCCCTTTGTAATTACTGTAATCTCCTGTTGTTTGTCCATTGGTGTCGGGTGTATTGCCGAGTGCAATACATCGTAGCTCGTCCCTAATGTGGATAGCCAGCCGTTGAAGCAGGTAGCCTCCTCCCTCAACACAGGTGCTCATTGAAAGTCTGAATGCAAACTCTAGGCAACGGAGCATTGGCAATTTTTCTAGACTCGATGTATGACCCTTTCACCAGATGACGATCGAGTCCAGACGAGTTTGGTGGAGTTTAGAATTCCTCTGAAGCGACAGTCTGGCAGTCCACGGTGCATTAGAGCAATTCCACATCATGGAAAAAACCGCTTTTGGCCTTTAAGAACGAAAGGACGGCACATCGACCCATGTTTCAGCCATGCACTGGTTGCACAAACAGGAAGAACTAGAGAGCAATATATGTGTAATATATGCCGTTCAAGACATGGTTAATAGCGTTAGTCCAGTGATTGTTGTTTGACTTTCTCTACGACGTGTTCTTCTATGTTCAAAACAGTTACGAGGCGGCCCATGGGCAACGCAAATGGTGTTCGTCCTGCCAGACGCTACACAGCGAGCGGGCTCTTCGCATGCGAAGAGATGAGTTGCTGGCAGAGCTTCACTCGGTGGAGGAGCGACACGCGGAAACCATCCAAACGAGATGCTGTTGTCAAACGACGGGACGACAGGGACGACTGATGTAGACACTTGGCCAAAAAAGGGGTTATGAATTATGAACCCATATGAACCCCTGCAGAACCCAAGTCCAAAACTTTGGTCGAGTGTTCTGTATAGATCATCCGTGAACCTAACCCTGAACCCTGAACCCGTTCTCGCGGTCGTCCGTTCTCCTGTTTTGCCTTTCTCAGGAGGAGTGGCACTCGGAAGTGAGCTTGGAGGATGAGATGCTGAAGGAAGCCTGGAAGAGCGAGATGCGCATGGAGACCGACCATTACGAAGAGGAGACAAGCGATGCCGACAGCTGGGGCAGAAGCGATGCCGAGATGCGCTATTGTTTGGGGTCTATTGTATGGATGATGTTTGGATGGTGATAGAGGGGTCCATTTGGTACCGTATACCATCGTATACCTATTGGTTTGTTCACCTGAGGGTATCACCTCTTTTCATCAACCAACCAACCAAAGCCTGAAAAGGCAGGTATGTCACACGGTATGTCTAGGTCTTTTGCTTGGAGTTTAGCGTGGCTGGGTATGGCTGGCGAGGTGGGTGGCCGTCGTGCAGGTGACAGGAGACGAATAAGTTGATGGTTGATGGTGCTCACTTTGGAAACTGGCTGAAGGTATTGGTGATGCCTCGCTTGAGGGTTGGTTTGCACACTTGTTTTTGTTCATTGTTTGTTTAAATATATATATAATATATATATACATACATACATATGGAGAGAGAGAGAGAGAGAGCTGGTTTGAGTAGGTTTGTAGTGCAGTTTGTACTGTTTTCTTCAAACACCTGACTGGTGTTTTCAGTGGCACAAAGATAGGAGAAACTCCTAAATCCATGAGGGAGACTCCTTCGCTTTGCAGCCGTTTTTTGTAAGCACGAGCAGCGCAGTCCCCACTGTCCAGGAGCTCATGCACAATGAGCAGGAGCTCGTGGCGACGCCACGAGCGCGAGGGAGACAGATTTGGGTTTGCCCTTCCTGCAAGCAACATTATGGAAGTGGACAACCCTCATCCATTCACCAAGTTCTTATATAAAAGGTCTATCGTGACTATGGTTTTTGTTTGGACAATAGTCTATGTCGGTGAAAGAGTTATATGTTGACATAGTGACTATACAGTATCCAGATGTATCCAGTCTTTGCTAATGCTTTTGGTTAATTCATGTGTTCCGCTGCATCTGGGATATTGGATTCCAGGGACTGAAACAGTGATCTTTGCGATATTTCACGGGAGGAAACCGGACCGGCGGTCGTGTTGCAAAGTATAGGACGATGATTATAGATGTGTTTTGTGTTTTTTTTGTTTGCCAGGGTGGTTCGCTGTGGACTTGATTCTGAGATTCTTAGGGATTCCTTGTTCTCCGGTTGTCCGACAGCTGCATCACACTAGGCTTCCAACAGAATGGCTTGCAGAATTTCCGGAGGGCTAGGACCATTTTGGAGCCCTTTGCATGTGAAGACTTATTGGATTGCCTGGTCGCGGTCCAGCTCTGCTGACTTTTGCCACACATGCTAACAAAACCAGACAAGCGAGATTATCCCCACCGAAGAGGAAGCTCCACAGGTTTGAGTCATTTTAGGATTTTTTTCTCCACCTCCACCAACCACTGGATTTTATAGCCTCACAGTCTTTTGACAGACCACGTGGGTTTGGTGATGTTCATGTCGTTCAGGTCTGGTTGGTCTATTCACGACGCGTACGACGCAAAATGCAAGAGGTCCAATGAGGTCCCAAAAGCTTGGGGAAGTCCTCAATGGATTGGGACCTCATCAGGTCCCCTTTGCTCAACCCCATTGGAAGGTGACCATGGTGACCCCTTTGGGAGGTCCCCAATGGGTTGAGCAAGGTGACCCCTTGGATGGTACATTGGGGAGCTCCACTGGGGTCACAGCGACCCCCCAGCGACCCAAGACTTCGAGCTGATCCAAGAAGGACAACCAGAACAAGACCGAATACAAAGGAATTGAGTTGTCCGTCTGAGAGATCAAATCCTCATTCATGAGTCAGATTTCTTTGGGCCCTGTCGACTCAATCAGTTGTGTGGCGAC